CAACAGCAGCATGCAAAATACAAATTAATAATAATAATTTCACCAAATCTTAGAAGAGAGGCAGCAGTTGTTGCGGTCTTTTTTTGAATGTACATAAGTGTAGACAGGCCGCCAACGCCAAACAAAACCAACAAATTGTTGAAAATGGACACAAACCAATACAACTAAACAGAAATCAATACCAGATGTGGCTTCTGAACTTGAAGGGAAACACCACCTACCAGCAGATTTTTACACATACGTCCCCAGCACCGACCCCAACGATTCAAAATATTGCCCCAAAAGTCATAAACTTGTCATTAACTTTGGCCTGAACACATGACACAAACAGCGACATTTCCCACTAAACCGCATAAAACCAGATAAAACACCAATGTGCCCCCTCTGCAGACATCAAGATGAGACAAAGACAACAACTCTTCCACTGTCCAGAATTTCAAGACTTTTGCCTTGACTACCTCACAAAAATACCAGACTACACCGTCACCCTATGTACAAACAAAGAACAGCTACGGAGAGTTTTCTTCACCAAGGCCTCGGGCCGAATGATACATACCCAAATGACCACCGTATCTGAGCAGGACAAAGGGCCCATGCCCTAATGACCACTGGCTCTGAGTAGGCCAAAGGGCAAATTCCAAGATGGTCACTGGATCTGAGCATGCCGAAGGACATATGTCCAAATGGCAACTGGATCTGAATGATGAATATGATTGATATCCAGAGGCGTAAGAAAGAGAGAGCGGAGGAGTGCGGTCCTCCCTTTGTTATTTTTTCTTTATATTGAAGAGCGGCCTTTGCGGCCAACTGCAGAGTTTTCATAGTGGAAGAAGGCGTCAAAAGACTTGACCCAACCTGGTGACTCTAACACTAGCAACTCAACTGTCAATCTCAGACGTTTGTCTCTAGTATCAATATCACATATTTGTGTCAAATAATGATTTTAAATGGAACCCCCTCATTACCGTCTCCATACAATCCTTTCTCCGCCCACCACTACTCCATCCACTCATTACCTTCTCCATACAATCCTTTCTCCGCCTACCACTACTCCATCCACTCATTACCTTCTCCATACAATCCTTTCTCCGCCCACCACTACTCCATCCACTCATTACCTTCTCCATACAATCCTTTCTCCGCCTACCACTACTCCATCCACTCATTACCTTCTCCATGCAATCCTTTCTCCGCCCACCACTACTCCATCCACTCATTACCTTCTCCATACAATCCTTTCTCCGCCTACCACTACTCCATCCACTCATTACTTTCTCCATACAATCCTTTCTCCGCCCTCCCCCCCCCACTATTCCATCCACTCATTACCGTCTCCATACAATCCTTTCTCCGCCTACCACTACTCCATCCACTCATTATCTTCTCCATACAATCCTTTCTCCGCCCACCACTACTCCATCCACTCATTACCTTCTCCATACAATCCTTTCTCCGCCCCCCCACTACTCCATCCACTCATTACCGTCTCCATACAATCCTTTCTCCGCCTACCACTACTCCATCCACTCATTATCTTCTCCATACAATCCTTTCTCCGCCTACCACTACTCCATCCACTCATTAACTTCTCCATACAATCCTTTCTCCGCCTACCACTACTCCATCCACTCATTAACGTCTCCATACAATCCTTTCTCCGCCCACCACTACTCCATCCACTCATTACCTTCTCCATACAATCCTTTCTCCGCCTACCACTACTCCATCCACTCATTACTTTCTCCATACAATCCTTTCTCCGCCTACCACTACTCCATCCACTCATTACTTTCTCCATACAATCCTTTCTCCGCCCACCACTACTCCATCCACTCATTATCTTCTCCATGCAATCCTTTCTCCGCCCACCACTACTCCATCCACTCATTACCGACTCCATACAATCCTTTCTCCGCCTACCACTACTCCATCCACTCATTACCGTCTCCATACAATCCTTTCTCCGCCCACCACTACTCCATCCACTCATTACCTTCTCCATACAATCCTTTCTCCGCCCACCACTACTCCATCCACTCATTACCTTCTCCATACAATCCTTTCTCCGCCCACCACTACTCCATCCACTCATTACCGTCTCCATACAATCCTTTCTCCGCCCACCACTACTCCATCCACTCATTACCGTCTCCATACAATCCTTTCTCCGCCCACCACTACTCCATCCACTCATTACCGTCTCCATACAATCCTTTCTCCACCTACCACTACTCCGTCCACTCATTACCGTCTCCATACAATCCTTTCTCCGCCCACCACTACTCCACCCATACTGTTTACCGTTTATCCCCTACTAAGTTCATTTCAATCTTCTCCTTCATAATGCCGTTCCTTGCCTTACCTCTGACTGCTGTTAAGTTCCAAGGCTATAACGTCATACTTGTCCACACGCACTGTCGCGAAGGAGACCCCATCCCCTGACGTGACGTTGATCTCCGTGGGACCGTCGTTGATTGCCCCTACAAGACACACCGTTCTAGACGTGTTGGTGCCCGTGTGCCCCACGGTGGTGAGGACGAACCAGCTGCCGTACGCTGTCAATGCACCTACATGGAATTGTTGGGCATGGGGACTTGGTCAATGTACATACATGGAATTGTTGGGAATCGGGACTTGTGTCAATGTATCTATTACATGGAATTGTTGGGAATAGTGAATTGTGTCAATACACCTGCAAGTATTGTTGGAATAGATGGGAGTAATTTTTAATATAGGCCAAGCTAGAGAAATTTTAAGCGACACCCGGCATTCCGTGTTATCTCATTAGGTATCTTAGACATTGACCTAACACAAAGTAATGTGACTACTGAGAGGCTACTCACCTAACACAAAGTAACGTGACTACTGAGAGGCTACTCACCTAACACAAAGTAATGTGACTACTGAGAGGCTACTCACCTAACACAAAGTAATGTGACTACTGAGAGGCTACTCACCTAACACAAAGTAATGTGACTACTGAGAGGCTACTCACCTAACACAAATTAATGTAGCTACTCACCTAACACAAAGTAATGTAGCCACTCACCTAACACAAAGTAATGTAGCCACTCACCTAAACCAAGTAATGTAGCCACTCACCTAACACAAAATAATATAGCCACTCACTTAACACAAAGTAATATAGCCACTCACCTTAAACCAAGTAATGTAGCTACTCACCTAACACAAAGTAATGTAGCCACTCACCTAATACAAAGTAATGTAGCCACTCACCTAACACAAAATAATGTAGCTACTCACCTAACACAAAGTAATGTAGCCACTCACCTAACACAAATTAATGAAGCCACTCAACCAAACACAAAGTAATGTAGCCACTCACCTAACACAAATTAATGAAGCCACTCAACCAAACACTAAGTAATGTAGCTACTCACCCAAACCAAGTAATATAGCTGCTCCTCTAACACAAAGTAATATATCCACTCACCAAAAACCAAGTAATGTAGCTACTCACCTAACACAAAGTAATGTAGCCACTCACCAAAAACCAAGTAATGTAGCCACTCACCTACAACACAAAGTAATGTAGCTACTCACCTAACACAAAGTAATGTAGCCACTCACCTACAACACAAAGTAATGTAGCTACTCACCTAACACAAAGTAATGTAGCCACTCACCTAACACAAATTAATGAAGCCACTCAACCAAACACAAAGTAATGTAGCCACTCACCTAACACAAATTAATGAAGCCACTCAACCAAACACTAAGTAATGTAGCTCAGAGGCGTAGCGAGGTGGGTGCAGGGGGGACAGATGTCCCCGGGCGCAAGCTAGTTAGGGGCGCCAAAATGTGCTTTGATATTATATTATTGGTAAAAATAATGGGTTTGAGAGTTGAAAAAAAGAAAAGGGGGCGCTTTAAGATGGATCTTGTCCCCGGGCGCGAATCTTGTCCCCGGGCGCCAAACACCCTCGCTACGCCTCTGATGTAGCTACTCACCTAAAACCAAGTAATGTAGCTACTCACCTAACACAAAGTAATGTAGCCACTCACTTAACTCAAAGTAATGTAGCTACTCACCTAAAACCAAGTAATGTAGCTACTCACCTAAAACCAAGTAATGTAGCTACTCACCTAACACATATTTAATTTATTTAATCCCCTAACACAAAGTAAAGTATCTTGCACAAGGTAATGTAAGTACTCACCAAAAACCAATGTGTCAATCAACAAACATGGAATCACCACTGATTTGTAGACCATGTGTACACTCATCTGTGGAGATGGCGCAAACAATTATGGCAGTCTGTTATAATTATGGCCACAGTGATAGTCAAATAGTGTATATAGATATGGGTAAGCCGAGATATGTATACTAATGAGTAAGAGAAAATGAGTAAGATCTTTCGATCATATACTTTACTTTATAATATTAAAATTTTACAAAACCCATTCGTGATGATTCGTTTACTTACTTCAATCACATTTGATAGGGTTTAATAATAGCACAAGTTAATAACAATTATAACATCAATAATTCTGCATCCAAAGATACAATAAACACTATTACTTATGCAAATAATTATTAGGTTTTTAAGTTACATAATTTTCATAATACAAAATAGGCCCCTGTGTATTTAATGAGTGAATAAACATTGATTATAGTTCGTGCGATTTGGTGCTAATAGTACATTTTAAATTCGCCTTGGTGTGCACTCTTTATCACACGTTTCTAATTTTGTCAATTTAATTTTTTTTTTTTTTTTTTTTTTTTTTTTTTTTTTTTTTTTTTTTTTTTTTATTTTTGTTTTTGCTTTTTGCTAGTAAAGAACTTGCGTTCAAAAATCGTAAGCTTATATAGATTGGATAGTATTGGTCATTAGTCTAGATTTATAAATAAAAATATTTTAAAATAAAATTTAAAAAGCAAAGAAATTAAATATTTGAATATTTAAAGAATAAATATTATGAAACAATGATTGTGGAATATTAAAAAGTCGATATAAATTTATAATATTTTTCTTTTCAGAATAAATCTGTTAATGACTGCTAGAGCTATGTAGCACCTAATTTATTGAACCGCTTTACACACTAGACTGTTAGTACTGTTAGACTTATTTTTATACATTTTCTATTATTGGTATCTAATTTAAACTTTACTGCTAACAACATGGGAAGATACAGATCAGACGATAGTGATGATGATGATAAAAAAATGAAGAAGAAGAAAAAGAGAAGGGCCAGGTCAAGGTACACATTTTGATGTAAAAGTTATAACTCCACTCTTAAAATCCTGTCAACTGATGTCAACTCAAACTGACCACTGGGTCAACTCAAGTCAACTGTACTTTCATTCATAATCATATCGTCAATGAGCAATGTCAACTCAAACTCTGAAACTGTCTCACTGTCTGATTCTGTCTCAATACATGATTTGTCTGACTTTGTCAAGAGTCTTAATCAGAGTGGTGTCGTTTCACATAATTGCAGTATGAGTATGCTTATCAATGACACTATGACAAAATGACATTGATTAGATTGATCATGACTTATGCTTGAATGACACATTACCACTCTGACTTTGTGTAAAATAATAATTATAATGTATAATTAATAATAGCCTAAATGTAAAAATCTAAAATAAATTATTTATTGATGGTAAATATTATTAATACTAGTCTTTTAAATACAAGGCCTAGCGGCCTAGTATTATTTTGCTATGGCATGGCATGGGCTATTTAATTATGACGACCACTCCACCCCTTCTTTTTTTTAAATATAAAGGTTTGCTATTGAATGAAGTGAATGCCTGAATGTATATCTACTGAAGAATTAGCACTCATAATATTAATAACTAGGCCTAATAAGTCTTCATTTACTTCTTCTAAAACTATTTGAATTAATAATATAGAATTTAAGATGTTCAATGAAATTTCAATAAATTCATTTTGAAATTGACAGATCAAGTTCTGATAGTGATACCAGTCATATGTCTAGCAGCAAAAGCAAAAAGTCAAAAAAGAAACACAGAAGATCATCTCGTAGTCGAACTCCAGAAAAGAGAAGGGGTCCAGAATCACGATCATCTCGGAGGACCCGGTAAATTCACAGTTACTTCTATCATTTTCTTTTGTGTTCTTATTATTCTTTCCAAAAGAAATTGCAATATTTATATTTGAGTTTTCCTACCAGCCAATTTTTAAAATTAAAAGCTTTAATTTATCTTAAAAATGTTCCTTCATCCTTTTGCATTTACAATAATTTTTAGTTTTTCCAAAACATCTGACCGTAATGAAAGAAAAATATCAGGTGAATATAAGTAATTTTCTTTCTTTAGTGTCAGTTAATCCTAATTGACACATTCAGTTGATGTTTGAAACTGTCTAAACTTTAATGTTTCAGGTCAAGGTCGAACAGTTTGGACAAATATATCAGCAAACGGGGTCGTTCTAGGTAATCAGGACTCTGGAATATATTTTCTTTTTGTTGCTACTTCTTCCTTCTTTTATTTTGTACATCATTGATTTTATTTGTTTCTACTTCTCCTTGTATTTTATACCGCATTGAATTTTCTTGTCCATCAGATCAACTAGCCTTGATAACTACATTAGCAGGAGACCTCGCTCTCCTGAACGGCGGAGCGCACGTAAGTCAAGGTCACCACCACCCCGTCGAGCCAGATCAAGATCCAGGTCACACACATCCCGAAGGAGACGGTCCAGGTCCAATTCAAGAGGTCGTCGATCCAAGTCCCCAGTGAGGCGGTCCAAGTCCCCAGTCAGACGTAGATCTTACTCCAGAGAGAGAAGGTCGAGGTCACATGACAGAGAGAACTCACAGAGGTGCGTGTTGTTATTTATTTGACAATTTCAGTTTTATATCACAATTTAGTTAAATAGTTTATTGCAATTATGTTTATGAATTATGTTTGAATGGATAAGAATATCGATATATTACTTCCGGTTTTTGATTCGCTTACTAGATAGTTCAGAAATCTCTATACTTACGCATAATCAGGAGTTTTTCTCACAAATTTTTATTGATTGATAATTAATTTCTAAATGTCACTATGTGGAACGCTGTGCGTCGACAAGTCAAGCCACAAAAGTGTTTCTTTGTTTTGAGTAGATTTTAACTTGAAAGAGATGTCCTGCCTCCATTATTCATCTACTAGACTGCGCTATCTGCGTAACCTTCTAGCTGATAGCTATCTCCTTAGTAGTGAAATTCTTGCACGATGTAGAACACTTCAATTAATAAAAAAGAAAACTGCAAGAAGTTTTCGCGGGGGAAAAAGGAAGATGAGATCTCGTCACTCAGCTCCTTCCACCTCAACACCTGACCATATGCATCAACCCACTTCTCCCCAGTTTGCCCTCAAAGATACAATGAAAGTAAATTGGTCTTTTGAGACGCAGCAATCGATGCATATCCATGTGGTGACAGATGTGTTTGAACGCCTTCCTGTTCGTCCAAAGCGCGTACCATGGGTCCCACTTGACTCCGGACGTATTCGGCGCAGCAACGTCATTGTCATCAGCGGCCGCCAGAAGCTTCCAGACCAACTACGAGTAGGCCACTATAACTGCCAATCCGTGGGCTCAAAGTGCGGGGCGAAGCGAACAAAGATAGTAGAGTTCGTAAAGGACGAATTTGTTGACGTGCTGTTCCTGACGGAGACTTGGTTGAGGTCAACAGGGGATGATGCCAAGTGTGCTGACCTCACGCCACCGGGTTTCGATATTAAGTCCTTTCCGCGTGCTACGAGAGGTGGCGGCCTCGCTGTCATTTATCGTAGCCACCTCCCAGTGACTTTCACCTCCACATTCCCATTCCAGCACACCTCTCTAGAACTTGTTCAGTTCACCCTCAACATGCCCCACACTGTCAACATGTTATGCTTGTACCGCACTCCGCCCAGTAAGAAGAACAAGCTCCTAAACTCCACCTTCCTCTCTGAGCTCCCTGACCTACTTGACTACTGCAACCTGCTCCGTGGAACAAGTGTGATCGTGGGCGACCTTAACGTTCACTATGACGTCCCTACTGATCCCTTTACTAGCAAGGTACTAGACATCCTCACAAGGTTTAGTCTTGTCCAGGGCATTAAGCAGCACCACCTACTATCGCAGCGGCCACATCATCGACTGGGTGGTGTACCATGATGACGACAACTTGGTGGACAGCTGTACTGTGAGTCATATGCTCTCCTCTGACCATGCAGCGGTGCTCACTACACTCAATGTAGTTCCCCCAAAGAACCCACCTGTCTACAGGACCGTGCGTGATATAAATGCTATAGACAGAGCAGCCTTCAAAGCCGGCATTAAGACAATGCTTCAAGGGCTAGGTGCTGAGCTCAGTGCTCAGCATCTGGACGATGGCCTCCGAGCACTTTTGGACGAGCACGCCCCTCCCATGGCGCGACGTGTCCCGACTGGTCGCTCGTCGCCATGGTATGCAGGCGTTAGTGACCAACTCCGTCTGGCAAAACTCGTGCGAAGACGCGCTGAAAGACGCTGGGTAAAGACTGGACTGAGTGTCGACAGACAGATCTTTTGGACAGCGAAAGATGCGGTGGCAGAGATTGTACAGAGGGCAAAGGATGACTACTGGAGCTCAAAGGTCGAATCATGTGCATCAACCAAGGCGTTGTTCAGCGCTAGTAACCGTCTCCTTGGCAACAGCAAGAATTTCACCCTCCCTACCGACATTGCACCAGAGCAACTCCCTGACGCCTTTGCGGACTTTTTCATCACCAGGGTGCAAATGATCAGGGAGGAGCTAGACAGCGCGACCCCTACACCTTCCTCACCGTTCTCGGAGGACGTTAGTCAGACAGAATCATTTGATAGTTTTCTGCCTGTGACTGAGGATGAGGTGAGGCGAGTCATCATCAGGTCTGCTCCCAAGTCTTGTGCCCTCGATCCTATCCCCGTCCCACTGCTTGTAGAATGCCTTGACGTCCTCCTCCCAGCACTCACCTCCATCATAAATTCTTCGATTCTCTCTGGCATATTCCCTCCCATTTTTAAACGGTCGATTGTCCTGCCCCTCCTAAAGAAACCCTCACTTGATCCAAACACACTCAAGAATTACCGCCCCGTCAGCAACCTCTCCTTTCTCTCAAAAATCATAGAAAAACTCATACTCTCTCAGCTCTCTGGCTATCTTCATTCTCGCAATCTCTATCCTTCCTCTCAGTCCGCCTACCGACTTGGTCATAGCACAGAAACAGCACTGGTCCGAGTCATGAGTGACCTCCTGCGCGCGATGGACGATGGCAAACTCTCTATTCTCACTCTGTTAGATCTCTCTGCTGCATTTGATACCATTGACCACCAGATTCTTCTTGACCGCCTTCATCTTTCTTTCGGACTTACTGGCTCAGCTTTAAACTGGTTTCAATCATATCTTTCTGACAGAACTCAAAAAGTCTCTATTTCCAACCGCTCTTCCAAACCTTCAGCCCTGTCTATTGGAGTTCCTCAAGGATCGGTCCTTGGGCCGGTCCTTTTCATCCTCTACACTAAACCTCTATCATCTCTCATTAGCCACCACTCAGTTTCCAGTCAATCCTTTGCTGATGACACTCAAATCAGTGACTCTTGCTTTCCTGATCAACTTGATGCCACAATCCTTCGCATACAGGAGTGCGTGGACGATGTAAAGCGTTGGATGACTTGCAACAAACTGAAGCTAAATGATGATAAAACGGAAATCCTTCTCATCCACTCTCAAAACAAACCTCTCCCTCCATCCGCTCCTTCTTCTATATCTATTGGCAACTCTGACATCACACTCTCTCCCTCTGCCAGAAACCTTGGAGTCACTCTTACGGACACCCTCTCCATGGACAAACATGTCACGAATATATGCAGATCAGCATATAACGAAATTAGAAAAATCAGCACCATTAGACACCTCCTCTCCTTTGATGCCACAAAAACTCTCGTCTCTTCACTCATTCTTTCAAAATTTGACTACTGTAACATTCTTCTCTCAGGCATTCCTCAACACCACATAGAAAAACTTCAGAAGGCACAGAACTCAGCATGCAGACTCATTTTTAAATCAAAGAAACATGACCACATTCAACCACACATGCAGCAACTCCACTGGCTTCCAATATCCTCTCGCATCAAATACAAGTCTGCCAATCTTTGCTTCAACTCGTTCACTGACCCTCACTTTCCTGTCTATCTCTCTGAACTGTTGCTTCCTTACATCCCCACAAGACAACTACGTTCTTCCATTGACAGTAGAACACTCTCAATCCCAAGAACTAAAACTAAGACCATCGGTGAACGCTCCTTCTGCTTCCATGGGCCCACGTTCTGGAACCAGCTCCCCTTCCCTATACGTCATAGTGAAACCTCGTCCATTTTCAAAAAGTCCCTTAAAACTCATCTGTTTAAGTCCGCCTATGACCTGTGATGCACCCTCCTCGCCCTACCTCATTTTCTGTTTCGGGTTGATCCTGAAGTGTCAAAGTGTCCTCGTTTTATAGCCATTTTCATTGTTTCTTTAGTATAGTAGTTACTATCCTAGTGTCTCATTGTATTTACTTAGTTTACATGTTTTAATAATTGTAAAGCGCTTAGAGCTTTATGATAAGCGCTATATAAAAATGCCTAAATAAATAAATAAATAAATTAATTTTTTTAATTTCTTGAAAATGTATTAGATTTTGAATCTTGAAAAATGTTTAAATCTTGCTCATCTGCATATTTGACTTGTTATTCATCCACTGACATTTATTCTATATGTAGTTAAGTTTTGCAACTTTTTAAAAAGCATAGCATTTTTGTTTAAAATCATCATGTAAGGTTAAGCTATACAGCAGAACAAAATTTTTTTTATTCAGAATGCTTTACAAGCAGACAAAGAAAAATAAAACGAGATATAGAGTAAGTAATGGGGTAAGATATAAAAGTAGACAAATAATTCCAGTATGTCTGTAGATATATGGGGCCAAAAGTAAACTCCTAATGCCCACTTAACTTGAGCTAATTAATTGTTTCTGTCTTCCAGGTCATCAGCTGAAGGCAAGAGAGGGAGAGATTCCAGGGAAAGTCCAAATGTCAATGTCAAGGGGTAAAAATAGACTTTTCATATGTCACTCAGTCATATGTGGTTAATTTAATAAAAATATTATTGTTAATACATTAGATGAAATGTGAAGTATTTGCTTGTATTATTTATATTTGTGATATTTGCTTGTAATGATTGTGTGATATGTGATCTATTTACTTGTATGTTATGTGATGTATCTGCTTGTACTGAATCATATGAGAAGTTTGTATAACACAATAACTTTGTATTCACATTTGTTTTCTCCTTAGTCTGTCACTTGCTGACCAGTCCACAGGTTTTAGCAGCTTGGTAAGAAAAGAGTTCATATTGACAAGGCTTTCTCAGACATAAAACATTTGTATGAAACATGTAGCAACCTTATGTGATATTTCTGTGTCAATACGGTACTTAAGTTGGTATTGTTCAGAAATGATTTAATCATTATCCTGTTTTGCCCCGAGTCGGGCTTTGATCTTCAATGATTTCTATTTTGATCTATCTGTTTCCACCCACCAGGTTTTTCTTGAGAGGGTAACTACAAAAAGTAATAAAGTAATTTTAGAATAACGATAAAGTTTCACAGAAATCAATACAAACAGCTAAGTGAGTTTAGCCGCAGTGATAAAATCAAATAATCACCCTTCAAGTCAATATTTTATTCAGAGAAGTGATGTTTTACACCATATGATGGCTGATTTTTGTTCTTGAGCAATACTAATGCAATGTTTTAGTTCAAAAAGTATTTTCTGAATCAGAATGTTTATCCATATGCTGAAGATGAATATTTATAATGTAAAACATTTCTATTTATTCAGATCAATGAAAGGATCTATTCTTATATAATATATATATATATATATATATATATATATATATATATATATATACTTAATAACAGCTATAAACTTGAGTTAAATTCTCTGATATATACGTAATTACAATACCATTCTGAACACTATATATAATGTAAAACATATATATTTATATATATAAAAGAAAGAATATATTTTTATATAATATATATATATATATATATATATATATATATATATATATATATATATACTTAATAACAGCTATAAACTTGAGTTAAATTCTCTGATAAATACGTAATTACAATACCATTCTGAACACAATTGCTTTCTAGCACTAGCACCATCATTAAAGGGAAGATTTTTCAACTTTTGTTTGGTTGACATACATGTTCGTGCAAGTGATTTTTCTCTGCTATATGATCTCAATCTTATCAATCTCCCCATTTCTCATCCAGACACCATCCATGCAGGCTGAGGAAAGAATGAGGCTTGCTCTCAAAGCTGCAGGTATGAATTAATTGTTATGTCTAGAAACTCAATAACGGATGAGCTAGGCTTTTCCTTGACTTTAAACTTTCATAACTTCTTATTGGTTGTAAGAAACACAGTGTCATTTCTTCAGCGAACATAAGCAGTACAAATGTGCAGTGACTCTCATAAAAGTTTTAGATTACTTAGAACTTGTGCTATGTCAAGTCCAAGAGAAAACTGATTTGTTATTGAGCTAAAAGGGAATTTAGATGGTTCAATTGGTGTGGGTTATTGAGTAATGGGGTTATGGATTAACTCATTCCTGGCACCTTTGATGAAGACATGCTAGATAATAATAGATGCGCCGTACTAATGCACACATAGATTGAAAGTGAAACAAGATAAAAAGTTTCCTATTGATTAAATTTTAGTTTCCTAAAATAACGCCATCACGGGAAGTCGCAAGGGACACCAGATTTCATTGCTATTTTTAAATAAATTTGAGAGAGGTATGTTGCTACTCTTAGACACATCCGCTGAAACCCACCAAGGGCGCATTTAGTCAAAACCGCTGGGAATGAGTTGATGATGAGCTTTGGTTTTGTTGTAGTTTTTTTTAAATTTGAGTTTTCTCTTTATTTTATGTTTAAATCTTTTCTAACTGAACTTTTTGACTGGGTCTGGACCAGAGGATTCAGTAGGGCTGGTGTTATCCAGTGCGGTAAACTTGTACTTGTATTGTGACACCCCCACCTTTTTTTCTGGACCCCCCCCCCCCTCCTTGTCCTCAGTCCCCTCCTGGAACTGCACTGTATAATTCTCAATCAGATGACACAGAATCATTAACGGCATTGTTCGTAGAATTAACTCCTAAAGCACAAAAGACATAAGAAGAAAGCAAAGAATTTGATGTAATTGAAAAATGCATCAAAATTACCTTTTATTGAAACATTAATCTTAACAGTTAAAACTTTTCTTTCCTTGTCTTCAAAGATGAAAACCTGTCAATCAGTTCATCAAAGTTAGCTTTCTTCACCTTATCGTTTTCAAATGACAAAATTGCAAGACCAGAAAGACTTCAAATATTGACAATTATTTGCAATTAATTTAAAACTACAATAATTAAAGGAAATTGTCATAAGTTAATGCCACTAGATCATGACCTGCTAAGATTGTCACAAACTTAAGCTACATGACTAAACTGCACTAGATGCTCTAGCGGCACTCTGTTCTTGAGGGTACTCATTTCTGGCGGCACCCTGCTCTTCTATTTAATTATGTTATGATTTGAATTCGCTCTCTTAAGTTTGAAATTTCCATTAATTGGTCTCACCAGGGTTGCCAACCATCTCATCTATAAAGAACTTAAGGATGTATGAAACATTTATTGAAGCTAGCTTTAAACTTTTCTACTCATAATGAAGAAATAACTGGGGAGAAAGTCATACAATAAGCTAATGCTTCAAATAGGCTCATGGTGAAATGACATAGACATAGCAACATACATATTTGATATTTAACATAATACATAATAAGAGTCATAGAAATATAGTCATATGGATGGTACTGGTACTTGAATTTTTTTTCATCATAGTTTCAAGTAAGTTTCTACAAAATAACTTTAGAAATGAGATCTCTTCAAATTTTCTTGTCCATATTCATTCTGGAAATTTAGAATGTTTCTTGTTAAATTTTATTTACCCTGTTGACTGTTGTCAACCTGGCTGTCACCTGGTGTGACCCGCACCTCACTAGTTATGCCACTGGTCTGACTGACAAAAAAAACACATAGCCCATTTGCCTTGATGTTGATATCAACTGGAACAGAAAATCAAAGTAACTCCTAATAATGAGGGTTACTTTGTTCACAGTCATGAAAATAAATTTGCTGCAATAATTTCTTCTTCTATATATAAAGGGCCCATGATCAATTTATTTATCATTTTGGCTCCTATACATGTAGAGGGGATTAGCAATGTTTCTGTGCCTGGTGTTGATGAGGATATTTCACTGGTTGCAAGTGCTACTTTGTGAGGGAATCATGCACTGGGGGTTGGAAGGCTTGAGGCAATAGACGCAAATGTGTCTAGTGTTGTTGCCTCAACTGTTCCTTTTGAAAGCTTGTTCCAGTCCCTGATTGTCTTGGGCTGGAATGAGCAGTTCCTATACTGGCTTCTTGCTGGTATGAGCCTGAATTGCCTGTCATGGCCTCGTCGCTGTCTATGGGGGAGAGGGAAGAGTTTCTGTTTAATACTGGAACAGTGGACCAGCCCTTTATTTATCTTGTACATCATGGAGAGCCTGGATTATCGTCGTCGTTCCTCCAATGGTGACCAGCCTAATGTTTCCAGCATGCTGCCAACACTAGAGGTATTCAGGTAGCGGTTCAGGACAAAGCGTGCTGCCCGTCGCTGGACCGCCTCCAACCTGTCAATGCTCTTCTGGGTAAATGGGTCCTAGACTGAAGATGCATAATGTAAAACCGGACGGACTAATAATTTTCTACTTACCTTTAATATACTACATATTTATTTAGCCAACCAATTTATTTTTAATTGATTGTAAAATGACGACAATGTCCTTCCACAACAACAAAGTTTTGTTTCCCTGTACAATAAAAAAAAAAATTTCTTAACGGAACAAATGCTTTTAAAGATGAAACATGGGCGCCCCATGGTTGATTGTTCGAAATGTGTTCCCTGACAGAGTTATGAGATGGGAGTTATCCATAGATTACTGATGCTGTTGTGGGGGTGTAATTGTGGAGAGGGATTTGTGTGTGGGGGGGGGGGCGAAGAGCGTGGGGTTTAAGTGTGGGGGGAGAGGGGGATGAAAAATCCAACTTCAAATAAGATGAATTGTCTTCAAAAACAAATTCTTGCTGTTGTGGGGGTGTAATTGTGGAGAGGGATTTGTGTGTGGGGGGGGGGGGCGAAGAGCGTGGGGTTTAAGTGTGGGGTGAGAGGGGGATGAAAAATCCAACTTCAAATAAGATGAATTGTCTTCAAAAACAAATTCTTAGTCAACAAATTTTATTATCATTTAAAAAGAGGAAGAGCAATCTAGGTGGAGAAATCGTCTTGTTATAAAATAAAATGATGTCTTTATATTATAAATATACAAGCTATTGGACAAATCTGTTCTCTGAATGCGCTGAAAACAAATGCAATGGAGCTACCAGATATAAAATTTATCATATTTTATTAAAAAAATAACCCCATCTCATTTGGTCGACAGCTGCAGCGGATGAGAAGTTAAGGATAAGAGAGACAACTGCTGCCACACCTTCGGACGCTCAAACATTTGCTCATGCAGTGGCAGCCATTGAATCAAATAGTTTTGTCCAATCAAATTTCAAAACATCTCGTGTTAACAAGGTCAAGGTAAGTTGAACAATGACCTTTGTATGGCATCAGCCAATTAACTACCAATGGAAAAGAATTTAGACAAGCATATTTTGCAAAGTTATTCCTTAATTGAAACTTTGAGGGTCTGTATACTTTTCATATTTCTATTGCTGTTTACAATCAGTTGACTTGGAAAGCGCACAATGATCTTAACTTCAATAACTGGAAAACACAAACCTATCAAATATCCTAAGATTGACTTATGCCTTAGCCATAACATTTCTTATTATGTATTTTTTAAAGATTTAAAGCACCAAATTTTCTTGTTTGTTTGAATTCATAACATTTCCGTCTCAGTTTTTATTTCCTTGTTTAAAAAAAAATAATTCAGTAACATCTTCATCACTTTTTTTAAGAGCAACCTTAGTTTTGTTTTTCATGCCAGAATGACCCCAAAGAGAATCTGTACGCTATTCTTCAAATAACCTGTGCTATGTAGTTTATTATAGGGTAGACTTAATCCATGTTACCTGTGATATATTTTATTTTTGACTATTTCAATATGTTATCTGTATGTAACTTTGATCTACATTTTATGAAAGGATGAACCCGCTGACACACAAGCCAACCATGACGATGCTATTTTCGGATCACTAACTGTATCCGGATTTACCATCAAGCCAGACTTAGACACCAAGCCCCTGTCGTTTGATCAAGAATCTATCATACACCCTAGTGTAAGATTATTGATTTGTGCTCCAGAAACTTTCTTTATACACCTAGCCCCTACTCTCTCGGAATCTATCATACACCACAGTGTAAGATTATTGACTTATAGTCCAGAAACTTTCTTCATATACCAAGCCCCTACTCTCTCACTCTCAGAATCTATCATACACCACAGTGTAAGATTATTGACTTGCAGTCCAGAAACTTTCTTTATACACCAAGCCCCTACTCTCTGAAAATCTATCATACATTCTAATGTAAACTTTAACACTTAGTTAGTTTCACAGTTTTGATAATAATGATTTAACTTTGGTTCTTAGATATGAGTGAAATGTTTAATTTGTTTTGTTTTTTCAGTTGTACTCAGATCCTGAGGAAAAGATGGACAAGTGGATTATCAGATTAGCACAGCTTAGACAGAAAAAATTGGAAGGGGATGCCATGCACTGACAGGAAAAATTAAAACAGCTTAGACAGAAAAAGTTTGAAGGGGATGATGTGTAGTGACAGGACAGATTAGCACAGCATAGATGGTTTGAAGATATCTTTTGGAACCAAAAAGGTGACCATAAAGAAGGGTTTATACTAATTGTGTAAACTTTGCTGTCAGGCAGATTGAATTGGGATGGGAAAATATGTTAGTATCTATAATCTATGAGCTACACACATCTTGGATTTTCTGCATTTATTTAATGTATAACAATATGGGGTGTGAAATATAGAGGTTAAATTGTGGAAATGTACATGTTTTCTTTGATTAAAAATAACCCAAAAATATGTCATTATCAGTTGATTTGTTTATTTGACAAAAAATTTTTTTTAGCACTTTTTCAACAACAAAATCAATATTTAACATGGAACAGCAAAAAATACATTTTCAAAAACTTAATATTGCAAATATCACTGAAATCATAATCATCAAACACTAAAATGTCTTCATTAACTACTGCCAGCATTATTTCCTTAGTATTTATCCTCCTATGAAACTAAAGCTCATTACACTTTTTGGATGGCTAGGTAATTTAATATTGAAGACTTTTGTTGAGTGATATGAGCAAGTTCTCTTAAATACATGTCTACATGTTCATCTTTGATTGTCTATATGTTCAACTTTGGTTGTTATGGAGACCAAGCTGACAGCAACGGCCATTGTTTAAACAATTGATACGTTTTTTTAGATTGTACTTTTGCTAATTACTTCTTGATTTTCAAATCAGTGAAACACATCTATGCCTCTATTACCAAAAGAATACTTAACAAATTAACATATTTGCATCATTGAACAAAATTAAGTATTCTAAACAAACATTTAACAAACAGTGAATCTTAATGTAGTAATCAGTGATAATTATAAGTGATCTGTGAGATGGTATAAAAAAAAAAAGGAATTTACGCATTAAAAAAAAATTATCCGTTACCATGCAAAAATCTCAAATGTGTCCTGAAAAAAAAAGGAAGATATGAATTGGATGGTTAAAATTATATCCAACTTAACATTAAAAGGTGATGACAAAATTTGCATATCTTTGGGACAGGATGTATATCTTTGGACATTGATTTAAACAAACTTATCAGCATATGACACATCAATTATTGCAGTGGTAAGAAATAAGCGGGAAATGAGAAATTTTATTGAGTTTTTCCATGCCATGTCAGGCAAGCAGCAAGACAAAATTAATTCACCACATTTTAATTTTTTTTCAAACACATAAAAGTCAGGTGGACCACAGTCACCAGAATGGTCAAGTGAATAATTCACCAGGGCAAATCCTTAACTTGGGGCAATTCTTTAAAAAACTAAAGCAGATAATCACTTGACCGCGAGCTTGGTGTTTGAGTAATCATCAACTTCCAACATCGCCATAATTTAACAAGTTTCAAAACAAAGTTTTCGCAAATAATTAAAAAATATGTCATTTATATTTTTACTCAATAATGATCTCTTTACAATTCCCATCAACAATGCTGCACCTGACCGTTCAGAAATCCTTAAATCAGCAGGCACCTGACAGGCGAAACATTCCTTAAATGTGTAGGCACCCAACTTAACTAATCCTTAGATGAGGTATTTGCCGTGGTGTTGAATGTGTTCATCAATGAATGTTGCAATGAAGAAGTAGCTGTGGTCATAGCCCTGTTGACAGAAATACAATAATTTAATGTACAGCTGTATCATTTCTTTTTGGAGTTACACTCTCTTTCCAAGAATCAAACTTTTGGGAAGTCCCTGTACCCTAATTAACGTGTTAGCTTACAAATCAACACAAGCCTTACCTCTTGCATTCTCATTATACAAGGCATTTTGCTCTCAGCACATGACTCAATCAATCTTTCTGGCAAGAGTTGCCCTTCTTTCAGGAAGTTGTCTGCAGCTCCCTGATAATGATACTCATGTTAGTATTATTAGATATGCTGACTATTGGAAATTAGATGATAAGTAATACGTTGTATTTTTAGCTCAAGTAGTCAGTTATTTTCAACATCTATTAAGGTGTGAGTGTCAATAGGAAACCATGAAAGAATAAGGACAGTATAAGGAAGTAGAACGCTAAATAACAGACATATTGAATCGGAAAAAAATGCATCATCATCTATTTAAGATACCTATCTAACAAGAAAGAAAAACCCACTCACCCTATGAGATACACCAACTCACCTGATCTACAAGTATATCGAGAGGTGGTCCATTATAAGATTTGACTAGTTCTGTGGCATCATACTCCTGAGGAGATGCACAAAGGTTTACATGAAATGAAATCTGTTACTAGAATCTTGTGATAACAAGATTTTAGAAAAAGAATTGACCATAGTACTATTAACGCAGGCAGCTAGTTCATATTGTTATCACTCAGATTCGTACAAGTATTACAATGCTATTCCGATACACACAAATCAAAATGTTTGTCTAATAACAAAAAAAGATAAAAAAATTAGACACCACTTACTCGCCAGCTGTTTTCATCAGTTCCCAGGTAGCCAGTAAAGCACTTCTTGCCCCAGGCACACTTCACTGGGTGAGCAATAGGTGCAAAGGCACTGACCGATCGAAACAAACCTGGGTTCTTAAGGGCAATGATCAGGGCTCCATGTCCACCCATACTGAAATGTGGAAGATAATGATGGCATGGATGCAGACATTTTAATAAACACATTGATCAGCTCCATTAAAAAACAACTTTAAAAAAAATGGAGCAAGTCCTAAAAAGGGGAGTCTATTCATTACAAAGTTACTTCCCTTTCTTCTTTTAAAGCAACCATAAGGTTTATGTGGTTTAAAAACTGAAAATATTTGATATCTTGTTTATGTGTGCCCCAAACACCCCTTCCTTACAGGAACGGTTGGAAAAGTCTCATTGAGAATAGTCACATGTTTTACTTTACTTTCATCTCTTAATTTCACCATAACATGTAGCTTAAAAGATTAATTTGATAATTTATTTACCTGTGACCAAAAATGCCCTTCCTGTCAGGAATGGTTGGAAAGTTCTCATTGATCAGTTCTAATAACTGTTGGAAATAAAAGTCAATTTCTGGATTTTTTAAATACCTTACAAATATTGTACAACCTATTATAAATAAATTTATTTACATTACAAGCTGTCTGCATAAAATAATTAACATAACTACAATAAGAATTAAATTACATGTAAAATATTAACCATTATTCCCATTAGCTATTTATTCCCAAAAAAAGGAAATATAAAAGAAAAATGATGCCCCCTCAAACATTTAATGTGGCCAACAAAAACTCTAGAGAACTTGATTAATGTTTCCAGAAAATGTACACATTGATTGTGAATGATTGTCTGTAAAAGTCTTTGTAAATGAATAACATCAGTGTAAAACTGTCAAACTAATACTAGCAATCACAGCCAATTTAAAAATTAGTCCACTAATTATTTGCAAACTGAACTCAAAAGGAATTTTCAAAGCCAACCTTTAAAGACCTATTTGAGTTATATTATCATGTGACACATAAAAATAATTTCTATTAATATCTATCTGCTCATCTGCAGAGATAAGATGTCCAAACCTTTTCTAAACAGTCCATAAAATAGTGCAGTCTGGTGAGAAGTAGCATCTTTATAACTACAAAATCAGCCCAATTTTAGAAACATTGTCATTGGTTAAAAAAATTGAATTGGGTTTTGTTTATTTTCCGAGTTAGAAGTCAGTGAGTTGTTTCTTTACAGAGTTGAAGGGCATTCCCCACATGGATTTAAGTCCCATGATTTTATTGATCATTATGGGTTTAAGTTACCTCTTTGGTAACATAGGAATACATGCGGTAGTTGTTCTTCCACTTGTCAGTTGTTGCATCCACATAAAATCCAGCACCTGTGCCGAAATCATAACTGTCCTCTTCCCCTTCAATATTGAGACCCCCTGAGGAAATTTTGAAAAAAAAAATATTTTTTTTGTAAAATCAAATTTCTTGTTTTATAATTTGACAATTTTCCATCATCAGACACAAGGAGACTATTTTATGGTCAATGTGGGGATGAGGCAGAAGATAGCTCTCAGTTTTATATTACAGGGGACAGAAAAAAAAGTGGGGTGTAATTAAAATGTTCTTAGATACAATAAAAGTGAAATGAAATGCAAATCTACAGAATGCCCACTCATAACAATACAACAGACTTTTATTGTACATTATATACTTACAACCCATATCATATGGCAATAAAAATGACAACAAACAATTACGACAAAAAGTTAAAAAGATTTCCATTGTAGGTAAAATACTGGAACTCACTTGGGCTAGTGTCAGGATTGACTATAATTAAGTTCTGCTTGGCTGCAGCTCTCTGTGCTCCAGATTTGGTAATAAAGTTTTGCTCTGTGCAGGTCAGACCTGGTGGGAAATCGAGTATAAAACACAATTTATTGTAATACTTACAAAAGATCAGAACAGTAAATTGTGACACTTTCAACAGAACAACATTATTGTTATAAAAATTAACAGAAACATTATTGTTATAAAAATTAACAGAAAAAGGTTAAAAACTTCTAAATAAGGTGAATGGAATGTGCACATACAAAATTAGTACCAGCTTTGCCAGTTATTTTAACAAATATATTTTGGTACAACCTGTTAACTTTTTTAAAAAAAAGCTCATAACTGTAAACTATGAATCAAATTGTTCATAGCTGTGAATCTATTCATTCTAAACTGTTGAATTTGGAGCAAAGTCATAATAAAGAATTCATCTTTCAAACGATATATGTCTGTAAAAATGGTGAACAATGTTTCAGGCATCTGAGATTGATTTGTGCTTGCTTAACATTTTATTTTCATTAAATATCTTGAACTACCTGACAACCAATATAAAACAGGAAGTTTGGTTCCATCAAGTGCATCAGCTGGTAAAAAAATGCCAAACTTCATGGTGCATCCAACCTCTGAGCTGTAAATGAAATTTATTACAATCAAATGTGCATGAAATCTTTGAGCGGTAAAATACCATTATTAAAATCAATAGTGTTATAATTCTGTCTTGGGTGTCTTAGGTAAAAAGGTTAAGGTTAAACTTGATAAATGATATGTTATGATTTCAGCTTGATAAAATATATACAAATACAATGTATTTATTTATGTTTACACTGTTATTAAACTGAAACCATTAAATTAAAATCAATTCAAACTAATAGCCTTCATCTGAAATTGCTTATTTTACTCACCTCTCATGGCTATAAACCCTCTGCTCTCCACCAAAACATTTATTGCTGGATACAAGGGTCAGTTTACCACTAGACGACATAGTTTGAGAAGCCTATTGAATATATTGAAACAAAATGAATCAAATGCATTACATGATTTTATGTTCAATTGCTTTGCCTTATGCCAATAACTGTAATAATATTAATATATTATCTTTGTAACAAAGTGTTTTACCATTTATGATAAATTTAAAGCCCTGTATGAGCTGTATAAGAATATCATATATGTAACCAATGGTAAAAGCATAATCGACTATCACTAACACTGAACTTGCTGACAGTGGCAACCTTCAATGTAATCATAACAAGTAAAATTTAGGGAAAGTTACTAGTGCCCCCGCCCCTCCATTCTCCCCCCCCCCCCCTCAAAATGAGAATGATTATTTATTTTGGTAAAAGCATAATCGACTATCACGAACACTGAACTTGCTGACAGTGGCAACCTTCAATGTAATCATAACAAGTAAAATTTAGGGAAAGTTACTAGGGCCCCCGCCCCCCCATTCTCCCCCCCCCCCTCAAAATGAGAATGATTATTTATTTAAGATAGTGTCTATTGGTAGTTTACTACCGATAGCTTCTAGTTAGGGCAGGGAGCTACTTGAAGTAAACTACCAATAGCTTCTAGAGAGCTATTGGTAGTCCAGCCAAACAATCAAACCAAAATCTTAGCTATAAAAATCTGATTCCATCGAGGCTGGCCAAGTATTGCCCAATTCATTTATTACAATTTTGTACTAGTGACAACACCTCAGCACTAATTATAAAATCTACAGTACTGAGTACTGTTTTAAAGTTTTAACACTATCTGCTGTAGCCTTCCCAATGCTCAGATTTGGCTATATTGCTATATAATTTATAATATAGATCTAATATAGATCTTAGATAGATGTATGATACTGGGGGGAAGGGGATCATAGTTAGGGGTGTGCCGGATCCGTTTTTTCCAACCGGATCCGGATCCGGATTTTCTTATGCCAAATCCGCCGGATCCGGATTCCGGTTTCTCCCGGATTCCGGATTTTGGTACTATTGGTAGATACTTCGGTAAGTCAAGGTGGACTACTACTTTTTGTGTATGGGAATTCGCAATCGGCGCCAAAAAATCCGAGTTTTTAATTTTCCGATGTATGTGTCTATTTATTATTAAATTAGTACTTTCGATATATATTTGAGTTCCGTTCCATTTGGATAAGTGTCTTAGAGAGACGCCATGTTTCTACGCGTTCGCAGCAGGTTATGCAGCTCGCTCAACCTAATTTCGCCATGGGTTTGGCCACGCCCCCCTTTTTAATGTCGGAAGTTGACGATACTTAGGAAATATTAATTTATTATCACTATTTACATCAAAATAATTGATAACGTGTGTTTCAGAATGCATTTAAAGACATTAAAACTGGAATGTTTTAATTTGAGCTTTAACAACCCGGTAGAATCCATATTATAAATGATCAGAATTTACCGTGTGCAACACGTTGTCATTGGCAACCATTCACAGCCACTTGCATAACTGTATCGTAGTACTACCTCAGAGTTTCATTCATAAGAGTTTGCCGTGTGCAAAAACTATTAAACCATTGGTCAGGGAAAGCTTTAATTAATTATTCATGTGCCAAAGTTGAAAGTTTAAACTAAGTCTAAACAGTATTTTAGTGATAAGGCAGGGAATGCGTTGCCTTATATAAACTATATAGTCATTGCGCATGACGGGATTGGTGGAATGAGATCACAGAATGTGGAGATGCAGTCCATGTTAAAAAATGACAAACCAAGTCGTACTTTAAAAATTCATAACTTTAAAACTACAACAGCTAAAAATATGATTTTGGTGTTATAATTCTTTAAAAAATTACATCTTTTCAACTATGCCATTGGTTTATTTTTACAAAAAGTTTAAATTTTCTTATCAAAGTCCCTACACTATTGGCCACTATTAGCGGTGCTGACTCTAGCCTCTGGTATGTACGGAATATTAAACAAGCTCAACGCTCGAAACAATCGATTAATGTATCGTGATCGTGTGAAATTCGGGAAAGAGAATTACTTTTATTTCAGATTATGATCCGGTGAGTCACAAAATCTGGCAAATTGCGAAATCCGGTATATTCCGGAATCCGGTTGTTCCGGATACATGTAAATCCGGCGGAACCGGATTTCACCGGATAGTGCAAAATCCGGCGGAACCGGATTCCGGACCGGGGTCCGGCACACCCCTAATCATAGTCTGAAAAAATGTTACCCAGCTTCTTCTTTGCCAAAGCCAAAGTAAGATGTGCAGTAAAAATAAAATCCAGCTGTAAACATTTTGTGTGTGCTAATTATTATGATTAAAATTATAAATTAAAATACAGGCCTAAATAATTACCATAAGAAGTTTTACTGCATACAAAAAAAAATATTGTTACTTTAGTTAAATGAAACTGTATAATTACGTGATGTGATTAGGTTTAACGATGATAAAATAAGCTTAGGCCAATCATTGTTTAGGAACATGGTCACATGAACCAACACCCCCCTGCTTTTGATTTTCTGTTGTTGGTGCAAAAGTCTACTGAGTGTTATTTACATAAATGATCCCTCATTAACTTATAAAGGCATCGATATTTTTTATGTACAATTAAACAATTTTATTGGGTATATTGTGCAACTATAACACAAATTAATCAATTTAATGTCTAGGAATCACTATTTACTATTTATTTTTTAATGGTATGCAGAGTATGCAAAATCAATGTTTTAAACTGCACATAATCTTGATGAAAACATAAGCAGTATCAGTGATGCATAAATAAAATAAAATATATACAAAGAAAGAAAAATAAGTGTATTAATCTTTATGATTATGTCTTGAAAATTCGAATGGAGTGAATGTATGAGACTAAACACAAACAATACATTGTGTTGGCACATGCTTTTTTTGGTGTTTTTTTGTGGCAACATACATACTTTAGAGTGATTTCAGTGATATAATCAAAAAATAAATTATGACTACCAATAATTATTGCATTACAGCACAGCATCAATATATCTCCTTGTAATAGTACCGGTTGCTTTGTTTTTTCATTCAATAGTCATACTACTCAAAATAGTTTACTACCGATAATAACAGCCTTATTTCAATAGCATAAAAATTATATTTATTACTATTATATTATAATCTCTCGTTAAGTAGATAGTTTAAAAAGTATACTACTACGTGGCTAGGGCCTGTAGGTCCAGCTAGGTTCTAGAGCAAAAGAACATCTTTAAATGTAAAACAAATTATAACTTAAAGTTTAAAAAAAATTAAAGTACAATCGACGATCGGCATATTTCGCAACGAACAACATGGTCCATGATTTTATGTATCTAGTCACATATAATCCAGTTTATTAAATGCATTCCAAATTTAAAGTCTTGTTTTACCTAAAACTCTATAATCAGTTACTTACAACAGTATGGTTTTAGGCAAATTTTCTAAGTCTTAGATGACTAATGAATTAGAAGAATGCTGGGGTTTTGTGATGGTGACCTTTGGCCTTGGCCTTTGTCGGCAAAGTAACTCTTCTGTTTTGAAGGTTTATTTTCTCCACATATTTAAAATGCTTCGCATTTTCATTAATTATTGCCACGCAATCATACAAGTGGGATATTTAATCAAAAGAAAGGCACGAATTCTCCCCTAAAATTAGAACTATTTTAAAGAAATGTTCAAAATTAAAATCAGTGAAAAATTATACTCTAAAATTGAATTACTGACAGTTATATTTTGGGGGCCATCCATAAGTATGCCACGCTATTTTGGACAATTTTTACTCCCTTCGCCCTCCCCTTATCTCAATCTGTCACAAATCCCCCCCCCCCCCCCCCAACCCCCCCCTAAATTACGTCACACTTTGAACTAAACAAATTATTTACAATTACATTGTCTTTTTTTTAATAAAAAGGTTAATAAAAGGAGCCTTTCATTGATTAAATAATTGAAATAGTGGAACCAATCAGAACTGTCGCTAGGCTCGATAAATTTGGTGATAAGAATATTTTAAGCAAATCTAGTGTCATAATTATTCAATTCTCATTACCATATAGGACGCTCCTGATTATGAACCACACCCTTAATGCAGTTTTTAACATAATAATTTATAGGTTTATTTATTTTTGCAAAAGACTTGGAACAACACTGTATTAAGCTACGTTTCATCCGTAGAAAAGTCTCTGATTCTAAATTTTGAAATAATTCATGCTAAGTATCAAATGTTAGCTAATTATTTTTATTCATTTTTTCCTAAAATGTGATCAACTTTTAAAGTTGGGTACCGTGGGGCAGTGGTGTAACTAGGGTTTGTGTTATCCAGTGAGGTAAATTCATGGTTTCACCCCCACCCCCCGACTTCCACGATGATTTCTTTTTGTTAAAATAAGTCTACAGGTTAAAATTGACAAGAGCAAAAAAAAAAATAAAAAATAATTGAAGGCCAGAAACTAAGTATATTTAAGACCTGTAACATGTACCCAGTATCGCCCATTGGCATCAATGGAAAGCTTATTTCTCACATAGATGAATATAGCTGCCTGTAAATGACGAAAGTTACTGAACACTTCAATGGGGGTTGAATAATGGTCAAAACGATGTTTTTCTGACCTAATTATAGAGCTACCTTATTTCTGACGCACCGACCTTGAACTGTTAATAAAGCGTGCATTTGTTTGGTTACACGTGTCGAAAACTGACGTATGATGGGTTATCCTTTGATGAAATTCGTTTAGACCGAGCAGTTTGTGCTCTGTAAATATGCGATTTTCAATTTGGTGTCACCCTCTGAAATAGTGGCACCTGGTCCGGTCCGCAACCCCACCACCCCCCCCCCCCCCCACCCAGCTACGCAACTGCCGCAGGGTGTTAATAGATAAATTGTAGAATTTAAATACCATTAGCTTTATAAGATATAGTTTAGTGAAGATCAGTAAAAAATATTGGCCCGAACCTAGTGGCACTAATCCTTGCTACGCCACTGCCTCTGGGTTTGTCCAAAACAACAATCCGGCCCTCAGATAGAACAATTTTAGTAAACCTGGCTTCAAGTATTAGACCAGCATTACAAAGTTCTTATGATTAAGGATTCTTTTCAAACAACATAATGCGTACTGTGTATACGCCTTAGGTTTGTTTACACATTATATGTAAAAGCCCCCGATTTGCTTTGTGGGAGAGACAGGGGGGCGACTTGCTGACATGTTCATTGAACATCTACGAAACATTGCTCAAGACAAATGACGTGTCTTCTCTTCTCACTTACCAAGTCGCGACAGGTGTGTCTTTTACGGTTATTGTTTCCTCCGCAAATCAAGCCAGCCAGGTTGAGTTTGCAGAACAAAATCTTTTGGACCCTGACACCACGTGGTATAAATGTTATGTTTTCTTTTACTTGCTAACTCTCTACGCCACTTAAACTATAAGACTAATCACGGAGCTCTTTCTTTCTCCCTTTTCCCTAAACTTATTTCATTAACTACGCTTCTACTTCTTCTTTACGTTTTCAACTCCCAGTGGAGCATACTTCTTCTTTACGTTTTCAACTCCCAGTGGAGCATACTTCTTCTTTACGTTTTCAACTCCCAGTGGAGCATACTTCTTCTTTACGTTTTCAACTCCCAGTGGAGCATACTTCTTCTTTACGTTTTCAACTCCCAGTGGAGCATACTTCTTCTTTACGTTTTCAACTCCCAGTGGAGCATTGGTCATTGAAAATAATTTCTTCCTTAACTTTTCCCAACTATTTACAATTTGTATCGCATCTGTGTAGCCCTCTCTTCGCTAGGTGTTTATGGCTTTGGACCATCATCTTGTCCTTAAGGCAGGGGTGTCAAACTCGATCGCTCGGCGGGCCAAAACTCAAATCACATGTAAGGTTGCGGGCCGAACAGGATAAACATTCAATTAGCGGAAAATAAATCTTTTAAAAACGTTTATGTAAAAGGAAAACAGAAAAAAAAAAGTTTTAATAATTAATAATCCTTGGCATACCCATCTTCGTTCTCATGCCACTTTGTCAGAGCTGGATCTTTTGGCTCATTTTCTTGGCTATAAAAACAAGTGAGTTCGTTTATGTGAGGAGTAACGTTCTGTGTCATTGAGATTCTCATGATAGACTGCAAGTGTTCATCAGTGAGACTACTCCTGTGTAACGTTTTGTTAATCTTCATCACAGAAAACAGCTGCTCATACATATATATACTGGCCAACATGCTCAAGGTTCGTGCCGCATGTAGACGAAGCTGGGGCAGCTCTTCAGGAATAAAACGAGTGAACTGTGCAGGACCCAATATGTCGTACTTTGCCATTAGTGTCCCATTACACTGCAGCTCTGTTAGCTCCATCTTTAGGCTTCACTTTCTTCCTCATACTCCTGGTTGCAAGATACCTGGCAGCGCTTCTTCTTACAAAGCTGAGCAACATTTGGTTTGAGCGAGGAAGCAACTGAGACCCTAAGTATAGCTTGAAGATGCTCATCAGTATGTTTCGCCCTGAACTTTGACTTGTTAAATTTCATAGTTGGAAAAGAGCTTTTCACACAGATATGTACTTCCAAAAAAAAGAAAATGATCCGCTTGAGCAACCTAGAAATCTCAGTGAAGGTGGAGGGCAATGCTCTAATAAATTGTCCATGCTTGTCTGTTTCTCCATTCACTCCCTGAATTTAGAATTGCACTGAAGATCAATCAGCTCCATTTGAAGCGCAATTGGGGATTGGGGGGTGGGGGGAATTAAAGGAGAAAGAGTCAGTAACAAGTTGTAAAAAATGACTCAGTGTGTTAGAAGTCTAGAAACATGTCAACAGATTCTTCCTGCAGCTTTGCAATGGCATCAATATACTAAATAATGAATGGTGTGCCCGAGTCAATGATTACTATTCATTTTAAGGAAATGGCAGAGGTTGCTTAAAGAACCATAACAAAAGTTTGTGCAGATTGCCGTGACTTTGTCATCGGCAACACTGCCAAGCTACCCTTGGTCTTGTAACTTCTTGCTGAGTACATGCAGCTCCTGTGTAATGTCAACAAGAAAAGCCAAGTCCATGAGTCATTTGGTATCACGTAGTATAAGAACATCCACCCCATCCTACTCCATGAAAGCTAAAACGTATCCAAACAGTAGGCAGGAGCAGGCATTATTTATGAATTATTGATGCGAAGGAAAATGCTATTTTAGAGAGAATGAATTTTTTAATTTTTATCGCAGAAAAAATGTCTTTTTGACTAATCATCATTTTGAAATGGAACCAAGCTGACATTCTCGAAACGTCCCTCACTCGTTGACAGTAGGGCCAATTTTAATTGGGATTATTTGATACTGTGTCAGATTGATACGATTTACAAAATTATGGTTGTGCATGACCTACTAATCGACTTTTGAAACTTTTCTGAAAACCGCACTTTGCCAACGTTTTTCTCTGAAAATGCTATCAAACAAAAACTTTTAGTCCGGCTTTGAAACAGTTGAAATAACGCCCAAATCTATGAAAACATAATTAAAATCAGAGATATACCAGTCGGTGAGATTCCACCGAAACTGACGCGGAGGGTCACATTATAGATATGAGAATGGGTAAAACTCGCGGGCCGCATTACACTAAACTTTGCTGTCATGTAGCGGGCCGCAAAAATATCGCCTTTGAGGCCGTAAATGGTCCGTGGGCCGCGAGTTTGAGACCCCTGTATTACAGAATCTTCCACTTCCACGTGATCTTCATATATATATATATATATATATTGTAATGTAGGATTTCCCCGTGACGTGAGATTTTTTTACCTCAAGTTAGATTCCTAGCAGACGGTAATGTTTGTTGTGGGCGTGGTTTAATCTCTTTGATGTGTCGTGTTTACTACCGACTACCAATGAAACATGGTTAGACTGTTTCCTAGTATCTTGTCGAGCGTTCTCAATTTCCAAAGAAACGTAAACAATGTCTGAGTAGTTTCTGGAAGGTAGTGCTTACGCTGCATATATAAGGGATTGACAGGGATAGAGGTTCATGGAGATTGAGAGAAAGATTCAGACAGATATTATTAACTTTGCGAGACAATTGTATTATTCTTTGTGTGCTCATATGTGTTTATTCGCCTTCATCATGCATCATAATTAATTGACACATTGTACTAATTGTGTACCGGTACATTATTTTCCCATACTTTTTAAGTTGTTGATTGTAATTATATTTCTTTTATTTTGTAATTATATTAATACTTAAATAAATCTTATTAATTTTAATTAGCAACTGCTTTGGGTGTCGTATTTTTGCTATTGTATTTTCTCTATGGTATCGTCCTTTGTTGTGCACTGTTTGAACGAGCCTTAACTTAAAAAAAGAGATTAATTTCTCACAATAGAAGCCAGCTCGTAACAATATATATATATATATATATATATATATATATATATATATATATATATATATATATATATATATATATATATTAGCTAAAACGTTTTATTTAGTGATAAATACCAGTTGTGATATTGGGAGGCATTGTTATCAGTAACTCCTTTCAGTAAGACATATTGGTAGCTTGTTG